GCTGTAACAAAATTAGTTTCCTGCACTGTACCCAAAGAAAAGTCTTGTCTCAGGAAATATAACTGTGAAATATGAAAGCCCTAGCACCAAACATTGAAAAGTTATGGCGAAGGTAAAAGTTTTTTAAAAGTCAGATGTCAAGATCAAAATTAATGGTGCCAAAGGGAAGGTCTTATCACGAGAAATACACTTGTGAAATATGAAAGTCCCATCACCAACCATTCAAAAGTTATGGACAAGGTTAACGTTTTCAAAAGTAGGTCAAACTCCAAAGTCAAGGTCATAATTGTTGATCTCCAATGGGAGGTCTTGTCGCAAGGAATACACCTGTGAAATTTGTTTTGTTTGTTTATTATTGTTTAACGTCCCTCTCGAAAAATTTTCACTTATATGGAGACGCCACCACTTGCAGGTGGAGAGCTGCAAATTTTGACCTATACTTGACACTCAGGGCCATTTAGCAGTGAAGGATCTTTTTCGTGACAGCACCTACTGCGACACAGGACCTCGGTTTAAACGGTCTCATCCGAAGGACCAGTCTCCACGTCCCACAGTGGGATTCGAACCCGTAAGGATCAACTCCTTACTCCGCGACTCTAGAGCAAACGCTCTAACCACTGCGCCACGCGGGCGACCCTGTGAAGTATGAAAGACTTATCATCAGCCATTCTAAAGTTATGGACAAGGTCAAAGTTTTATAAAGTGGGTCAAACTCCGAGGTCAAAATAGTTCATATCCAGTGGAAGGTCTTCTCACAAGGAGTACACCCGTGAAGTATGAAAAAAACCAACTATTCAGAAGTTATGGCCAGATTAAAGTTTGACAAAATTTTGCAAAAGTGGGTCAAACTCCAGGGTCAGGAGGTCAAATATGTTGGTACCCAAAGAAAGGTCACAACTTTTGAGCAGTTGGTGCTAGGGCTTTTATATTTTGCATGTGTATTTCTTATGACAAGGTCTTCCCCTGCGTACCATTAATTTTGAGCCTTTGACCTTGGAGTTTGACCCACCTTTAGAAAACTTTAACCTTGACCATAACTTTTGAGGCTTTCATATTTACCAGTTATATCTATTTACACAAGTCCTTTCTTTGGGTAACACCATTTTTGATCTATTGACCTTGGAGTTTAAGTTGCATTTGAAAAACTTTTACCTTCGCCTTAAGCTGCAATACTGGGGCATCAGTGTTTCACAAACACAGCTTGTTTTCATTAGGTTTTTTTTATATTTTAATTACCTGTGGTGCGATGAAACTAAAAATATATATAAAAAAAGTCTCAAATCCTTTCAAAAACACCACTCCCTCTGAAGTTTGGTTTGATTTCGATACAACATGATACACGTTTGGAAAACATAATAGACAATACTGTAAATGTAAAACATTTCAATAAATTAAAAAATGCAACTTTTCTCTTCCACCATTATAAACCAGTAAAGATAGTGTCTTGTCAGAGACTTTTGGTTAAGGATATCCGATCCTCAGCCAGGAAGGATAACTCTTAAATTTATTATTTTATTTAAAAAGTCTCAAAATGAAGCTTGAAATTGAGATCTTTGCATGCAACAATTTTCATTTTATGCATCTTAATATGATTCAAGGTTCTTTGAAGTCTTAGAAACGATCTTGTAAAAAGTTGACATTTGTACCCCATAAAAGAAAAAAAAAAATGAAATCAATTTTAGAGAAATCGGATTTCCTTTAGTTAACCATTAGATACCACTGCTTATTAGCATGGTATGAAATTAGATGTGATATGTGATGAATAGCAATGATAGCACAACCTTTTTACACTATGCATTTTATGACAATTGAAGTAAAAAAGAAGAACTAAAATACTGTATAAGCATACAAAAGATGCAATTTTCTCCAAATGCCTGGATACCTATATTTTTCTATCCTAAATTATATTTGTTGATCAATTTTCAATTAGAAAAATGCATAGCTGGTGTTTTTATTTGCATTTCCTGAAAATATATTTGAGATTTGATAATTTTCCCTGTATTAATATGATTAACTATAATTATGAACTTTGAAGAAATTCCATGGGTAATTTCACGTTACTATGTGAAATTAGAGACATTTTTGTGAGCATTTTCAATTACTTAAAAACTGATTTTCAGAACCTGAGGATCGGACTACCTTAAGGTAATAACTTTGTAATCTCAAACAGTCCATACTTGTTCGTGAACCACGCTAACCATCCACCTGTTCTGATTGCACGTGGGTAACAATATATCATCAAAATACCATTTCTTGCATATATTTGAATTTAAACATTAATTTTAGCAAAGTAAAGTTATTGAAAAAATTATTGATAAATGAATAACTGTGGGCTGGTAATTTACTGTTGCTTGTGTAGTACTTTCGAAATCCCTTTTTTTATTTAATCTTTTAATAATCACAGGTTTAACTTTGAAAAAAGCGGGGGTTGTAATGAGATTGAGATTTTATTCATGAAGTAAAATCCGACCATTGTTTACAAGCGCTTTTGAAATATATTCTGTGATTATAATTATCTTGTTATCACCTTCTAATAATGAAATTATTTATTGTCGTATATACAGTTTATTGATATTTCTTTTGTTTACGACAGAAGGATTATATAAGTACATATTTCAAATGATTCATTTATGAGAGATTAAATAGTTTTCCTTGAAAACCAATATATTTTTTTTTGGTCTTGAAACTGCAACAATTTTTCTTGACATTACAAGAAGATAAAAAAAATTGTAAAAAAAAAAATCTGATTCTACTCATAAGTACTCTAAGGTTGATATTAAAGGATGCTGGAGTTCTTTGTAGTCTTTGGATATCAGGTCTTCCAACATTCTGTTGGGGTTGCGATGAGCACTAATAGTGCTCCTTTATTACTGACCTGTTTTTATATTCTTATGAACCACAATTTATTCAAAAACTTCTACAAGGGAAGAGGAAAACGCTTGCTGTGGCCTTTAGCTCGACACTCAGATATATCGACATTTTATCAATTAACAATATTTACTTCGATTCCAATCTGATTAAAATCAGATCTTTGTTACGCTCCGAAATTCTGATGGTCGCTGTACAGCGACCATCAGAATTTCGGAGCGTACTAACAAAGATCAGTGGACCTTTTCACAAAAAATCTTACGACATAATTTTATCTTAAGTGAAAACTTATGATAAAAATCGTTTTCACAAAAATTCTTAAGAAAGTCGTAAGTGCAAAATCTGTCGTAACTTTACGAGAGCCCCAACCCTCTCTTAAGTATTTTAAAATCGATTTTATTGTAAAACTATAACCGCAAAAAACAAAATACACGATAATTAAACTTTTTAAAGCAACTTCCAATAATATTTTATATTTTTTTCACAATCATTGTCGAAAAATTAAATGAAATACACTACAAAATATTTACGATGTAAGTTTCACTTAAGATTTTCGTATGACCTACTTTTACGTCAGACTTGTGATTGTGACGTCAGATTTTAAACTTCCTTGCTTCGCAAACGATTGCATTCGATATTTGTTGTCAATAATGTTTGTTATGCTGATATTTGTTGAAAACTAAGTTTTATTTTATTTTATTTTCACCCACTTATTTAAGGATTATAAAGCATATTGAAGTCGTTGCTAGGGATGAAGTCTGTCGTAAGTAAAATCTTAAGTTCAATCTGCTACGAATGCGTTCGTGAAACGCACTTAAGATTTGTCGTAAGAAATTCTTAAGTTAAAATCTTGCGCAAAAACTTAAGATTTTTTATGAAAAGGGCTACTGATTTTAATCAGATTGCTTCGATTCATATGTCATCTCGATATATCTTGGTGATCTCGAAATAAAAGAAACCATAGAGTCTGTCTCATTTCTTTTATATTTGGATGTTTTACGTACTAAAGACAATAAGGACCAACTTACAACTAAACTTGGTGATAAACGAGATGTCTTTTTTTTTTTTTAAATTTAATTAATTAATTTATTTTTATTTTTATTTTTTTATTTTTTATTTTTTTTTTGCGTGTCAAGAAATTTCTGGATTGGAATTTTTTCTAACTGGGGTGGACCAGAAAATCCTGAAAAAAAATCCTGGATTCGCGCCTGATTTAAAGCCCTTCTCCAGGATATGGTGGCGTCTGTATAGGAGTGAAAAATTCTCGACTGGGTCGTTTAATCAATTTGGCGACCATACAACAAACATCCAAAATGACGTCAAATATGACGACATAAGACAATGCTTACGTATGACATACAAAGGAGATTTTCGAATTTACTAAAGAAAAAACACATCCCTTCGTGCAAAATTCGTTATATTGTTTATAAACTTTTGGCAGTTTGCTGTATAATAATTTATATTATTGAAATTGTATGTTATTTTACAGGAAAAAACAGTATTTATCTTCAAGGTTAATGTATCTACAAGGTGAACGTTTTTTTACCTATGTAGATATATGAAATTTCTTTTTTTTTAAAATGGAAAATTAGATATACTCCACAAACTTGAAGAACTCTCGTTGTATGTGTAAATATCCATCTAAAGCTACATACTCGATCAGCGTCTTATTGTAAATTAATTGTCACCATAAAACTTTGTTTCTCAGTCTAACATGTACATGTGAGGAGAATGTGAGATTGGATAAAGCTCATTGAAGACTTTTAGGGTATTTCATATTCAGGGCAGTTTTATGCTCCAAGATAACCGGAGGAGGGGGGGGGGGTAGGCGGTATGTTTCTAACCTTTTCAAAAAATCTTTAAAGCAGGCCAATCCTCTTGACTAAAATACCACTGGCCCAAAACTGCATGATTTCCTTATGTCGACATTGAAAGAAATAACTTGGATTTAAATTGATACTATAAACAATACAACGACTGAATTACTTGAAATTTTGTTTCTTTGTCATTTTTCCCCAGACTCTCAAATTTTCCTGTATAATAAAGAACTTAGCCTATCGTTCCCCACATAAATCCTTACTTTTATCCTCTTGCATACATTAGCTATAATATTTGAATTTTGCCTTCCAAAGGTTTAACTCCCCTCCATCAAGCTGCTCTAGATGGAAACTTCATGGCTGTCAGACTACTGATAGAACACGGAGCCGACATTAACAAGCAGGATGCTGACTCCTGGACACCTCTCCACGCTGCATGCGCAGAGGGTCACTCTCATATCATACGGTATTGCAACTACTAACCATGAAGCTTTCAATTCAAAGTGTTCTTAATTTTTTCTTGTTCATTCAAGATTGAGGTGACAATGTATCCTGGGTTTAGTATAAAGCCATGGAGTCATTTATATATTATTGTTTCCACGAAGAAAAACAAGAGGCCAAAGGGCCTTAACGGTCACCTGAGTACAACAATTTAGAGGATCCATAAACTGAAAAAATGAAGCTTTGTTGCCCCCCCCCCCCCAAATAGTATGATTAGGATCAACAAACGTCTAGTATATATCTGTCCCCCATTTATCACTATTACCATGCAGACTATTAACAAAATATCAATTTTTTAACCCCATATTATAATTATGAGAATTATATTTTTTTTTTAACCCCATAATAATACTTCTCACATTGGCCTCTCTTGGCCGTTGAAGAACATTTAGAAAAGATAAGTTATTTTTGTCTCATTTTTATTCATCTATTATTTCCAAGTCTACCTGATCATTAAAATTACGAAAAGTACTTTTTGTGTTATACAATAAATGTTCTTGCATAATTTTTTTATTCTGTTAACCTTTCAAATGTATTATTTACAGTAATTAATTATCAAAGGTGAATGGCAAAGGGGAATAACTTCGCTCAGTAGAATACAAATTGATAGAGCCCTGACCAGGACCAGAACATTGACTAAATGGTCTCAAATATGCCCCGGAGGAGCACAGAAAATGCATTTTCACTACAGATTTAACACAGCTCTACCCTAACACCGGAACTCGTGACCCAGGGTCATGAAATTTAGAAATTTGGAAGAGATACCCTCATCATCATAACTATGCAATTTGTTGAAGATTTTGAAAGAATTAACACATTTTCACTATATTATCGACAGAGCCCCCCCCCCCCCTCGGAGAAACACCAGAACCCCTGGGATCATGTTTTAAAAACATTTGTAAAAGCACCCTTGCTCATCATAACTATACTTTCGTCTCCTTGCTTTATAACCAGGAGTAGAAAAAATACTTTGAAAGAAATTATGCATTTTCACTATATGATCAATAGAGCCCCTCCCCCCCATCCTTTCACCAGAACCCCTGGCCATGGGGTCATGAATTTCACAGTTTTGGAAGAGAAATTCTTGCTTATCATAATAATGCTCTTCCTTTGTTTAAATAATACCCAGGGGCCGAGAAGATTTTCAAAGAATTAATGCATTTTCACTATAGAATCAATAGAGCCCCGCCCTGACACCAGAACCCCTCACCCTGAGGCCATGAATTTCACAATTTTGGAAGAGGCACTTTTGCTCATTATAACTATGTACATAGTTTATTTAATACCCATGAGCAGAGAAGACTTTCAAGTCTCCCGCGTGGCGCAGTGGTTAGAGCGTTCGCTCCACCTGCAAGTGGTGGCGTCGCCATATGATGGAACAGTTTTTGAGAGGGACGTTAAACAATAAACAAAGAAATAATGCATTTTCACTATATCATCAATAGAGCCCCACCCTAACATCAGAACCCCTGACCCAAAGGCCATGTAATACACAATTTTGGAAGAGGCACTCTTGCTCATCATAACTATGTACCTAGTTTGTTTCATACCCAAGAGCAGAGAAGATTTTCAAGGAATTAATGCATTTTCACTGTATAATCAATAGAGGCCCGTCCTCACACCAGAACCCCTGACCCAGGGCCATGAAATTCACGATTTTGGAAGAGGCAGCCTTGTTCAACATAACTACATTGTATGTACTTAGTAAGTTTATTTAATACCCAGGAGCAGAGAAGATTTTCAAAGAAATAATGCACTTTCACTGTATGATCTATATAGCCCCACCCTAACACCAGAACTCCTGCCCCTGGGTCATGAATTTCACAATTTTGGTAGAGGACTCAATGCTTATTACAATCTTGCCAACAGTTTGACTCCTTGATGTCCAGGAGTAAAGAAGATTGTAAAGATTGCATTAATTCTGGTGGTTTTAGCCCCACTCCTCAGGTCCCAGGGGGACAAGGACCATGAAATTCACAATTTTTGTTCCTCTTCACCTATAGATGCTATGTGCCAAAATTGGTTGAAATTGGTTAAGCGGTTTCAGAGAAGAAGCTGAAAATGTTCAAATGTTAACGCATGACCTAAAAATTAAGAGGTTAGAGTATCTTTAACATATGGAGTATTCACCTACTAAGGTGTTGTTACAAGATTGAATTTTTCTCTTTAGGCGTTGAATGATAGCATTGAAAATCAGACTGTGCTTAGAATTAAAAGAAAATTGAAATTCAAAAAGAAAGTACATTTTTATGAGCATGATAATTTTTATGCCCTTAAAGTATCATGTATCCTGATATATACACAAACTTAATATTTCTTCTCCTAAACAGATTAGTAATGTGATGAAATTATGTAACTTACTTGGGTTTTTAAGAGCTTTATAGTTTTGAATGGATTTTTTCTAAGTGATTGCATATGCTACATATTTTTTATTCTTAAGTCAAAGTTCACAATACTAACTCTTTCCTTCATTTTGTTGGGAATTCTTTTGATTTTAGGTAAAAAAAAAATTTATCACTGCATACCTGGAAAAGTTTTGAATTTAAGTTTAGATTTGATGGCTTATTTGACATTTTATTTCATTGTACATCTATATGTAATACTGTATAAGCCTTCATTGATTAGTTTGGGTGGAAGCGTACATCTGTGCAAGTTGAGAGGAATTTATGTCTTGTTAGAGCGTGTACATTATCAAGGTTCTTAGAATCTTGTTAGTTTTTTATATACAAGATTACAAGCTTACATCATATTACCCTATATATTTCGCTGATAATACATGCATCAAAAAATCAGATCAAAATTTGCATTTTACAGATTGCTTCTACAGCACGGTGCGGACAGAAATATCTTAACGGAAGATAACGAGCGTCCCTTAGATTTGGTAGAACCTACAGATTTCGAAGCAGTGAGCGCCATATTGTCCCCCCTAGAGAATCAGGACCAACCCTGTGATGCAAACAGCGACGAGGAATCGGACGACGAAGAAAAGGGTCCTCAGCGTTAGACGATTTTTTCATGACTTTAGACTGTTTCATGTTACAATTATCATTTTTCTATCGTAGAAATACACTTTGCTGAACATTTCTTACAATGAAATAAAGAGAGCAGCTATTATATTATACAAAGTGTATTTATTAAAAGGTAAAGAAAAAGAACTCGTTCTGAAATTACTTGTAATGCATTATTGTCCTTTCATCACTGGTGTTACAATTATGTTATAAAACAAAAGGAAGTCAAAGAGGGAAAAAATTCAAGAATTAAAAAAAGAAGGTTTGCATTAGTCATTCTAGATAATAAAACGCAAAAATTAATAAATAAAAAGCGGAAAGGAGATCAAGACAAAAATTGACGTGCACTTTTTAAAAAAAAAATTTAACTTTGCAGAAACATCTATGTAGCTGTGGGTGTGAGTCACTTTCTTTTGTTTTTTGTTTTTGTCCTTAAATTTGACCTGTTTTTGAAAAACATTAACCTTGGCAATAACTTTTGAACGGTTGGTCTAGGAGCTTTCATTTATATCGTGCATTTCTTGTGACAAGATTTTTCTTGGGGTATCAAAATTTTTAACCTTATGACTTTGACCATGACGTTTTTTTTACCTACTAGGAAAAACATTACCATAACTTTTGAATGGTTGGTGCTAGGGCTTTCATATTTCACTTATGTATTTCTTGTGACAAGACCTTTATTTTGGTATCAAATATTTTTGATCTCATGACTTTGATCTTGGAGTATGACCTTCTTTTGAAAAAACTTTAACCTTGGTCATATTTTCTGAATGGTTGGTGATAGTGCTTTCCTATTTCACATGTGATTTCCTTGTGACAAGACTGTTCTTTGGATACAAACATGTTATAACTCTTGACCTACATTTAAAATCTTAAACCTTGCCCTTGAGCTGAATTACGGGTATAGCTGGGACGATACAACTTTTAGTACATCGGTACGTATTATGATATTTGAGCTACGATACGATATGTATCACGACATGGTGAATTGATTATAAAATCTTAATTTGTTTGCATTGAAATGACCAAAACATTTCTTCACAAATAAGAATACCGTGGTAGTTTATTCAAAGAAGTTGAATATCTTGTAAAACAAAATTGTTTTACACAAGTGATGTCAATTATTATGTAATGTAATTCATATTTATATTTAGCATATTTATTTTATATATTAAACCCAAAATGTTAAGTAAATAAAGAAAAGCATAAGTCAGAAAATTTTTTGCCGATATTTTGATATATTTTTTCATACGTATCAATATGCGTATCGTCCTCGCACAGAATCGATATCTCGATATATCGTCCCAGCCCTACATAAGGGGGCATCACTGTTTCTTAAACACGTCATGTTTATACATGTGGTTAATTCGTGACTCAACAACAGTTTGTGGCTAAGAATGTCATATTTAATATTTTAGGTGGATATGTTGGGTAATGTGTTGACCACTCAGGCTCCTTTAAGAAATTTCATGTCTATATTGTACTAAAACAGTTTACTTAGTATGTTTCCCTTTGGACAATTAATAGAAACGTCAAATTTTCATGTTTCTTACTTGTATTTATTTTCACAACAATTAGACTGTAAAAGGGGAAAATTGAGTGCGTAAAATTCATATAACATTTATTACATGTACTAGTATTCATATGAAGCAGCATTTATTCAAAAACTTCGTTTCTACATGAAAAGAAGAAGTCTCTTCCTGTGACCTTTATTTCGACATTTAGATATATCGATGAAGTTTTATCAATTAACAATATTTTTAAAGTTTCATTCATATGTTGATGCAATATATCCCATTGAACTCGAAATAAAAGACAACAGAGTGAAAAATCTGTTTTACACATTTGGATGTTTTACTATAGAAAGACATTAATGGTAAATTGACAAATAAACTTTATGCTGAACGTTATACTTCAACTTTTACCTTACTTTCTAGCAATATACCATTATCATCCTGAGTTTTTGTCTCCCAGTTCGTTCGCTACGCAAGAACATATTCTGCCTCCGGACAATTCTAAAATAAGGCAGGCTATTGACAAATAAGTTGATCGTACAATCCCGTTTAAAGTCAACATTTCGCTAATTCTATGGTCGATACAATGGGCTTTTTGCAAATAAAATCTGCCATTCACTCGAATATTGACTAAGTCTTTTTATACACAGTGAATTGCCTTTTTGTTCACCAAATCATGACAAAAAGCACACGGCGGGTGTGACCGGTCGACAGGGGATGCTTACTCTTCCATAGCACCTCATTTTCAGAGGTTTGTGTTGACTCTGTTCATAATTTGTATTGTTTAAATGGACTTTTAAAAATGATCATTGTTATCGTCACGATTCATTTGGTGCTGGCCGGTGATGAGGAGTTTTAGTTTCATTGTTTTTAAGAAGAATGTCCATCCTCTGCAATCCCCTTTTGCTGGTGATACTGCAAAGACACGGTGTTGTGAATGCTGTGACTGTTTAATGATTTTAATGCTGGTTTATAGCTACTATGTTGGTTGAGATCTTATATACCATCAGCAGTCTTGTTTCCCCTCTCGTTGCTTTAAGCTCGGCCACTCCAGTTCAACTACCATTCCTTCTACACTGGATTTGTTTCTATAATTGCCCATCACAAACCTAGCTGCTCTTCCCTTTACTTTCTCTAACTGACCTGTATGTCCCTGTTGGTATGGGTCCCATTCAGTGCTTGGTATTCTAGCAGTAGTCTTACTCGGGATGTGTACGCCTTCTCTTGATGTTACGAGATGAGATGTTAAAATTTGCGTCTTCAAATTCCGTGTTTTATTGACCTTACATGTAATACAGATGTTGTTAATGTGGATACCCAAGTGAAGATCAGATGTAACTGTGCACCCAAGGTATTTTGTTGACGGTTAATGAACCAGAAAGAATGTGGTTGTGGATAGTGTAGTTATACAAAGTTTGTGGTCTTTTATGGTGATTAGTACACTTGTCAGGATGGAATTCCATTTTCCATTTTTTCCTCAAGTTGCCAATTAATTAAGATCCACTTGAAGGACTTTGTTATATATTTTCTGTTTTGATAGTGAGGTAAGCCACGGTATCATAAGCGATGAATCGGACTGTAGAACTGAGAGTTAAAGGTAAATCGTTGATAGTTGTGCTATTACTTCCAGTAAATTTATTAGCTCTGGAAATTGGTTATTTCTTACTGGGGGCCATTTTGGTGCAAATCCTTAAAAACAATGAATTACACTAATAACAGCAAATGAACTTATCAAATTTATAATTAGAATACTAGTACATTATATAAATAAGATTTTCCAAACAAACTGTGAACTTGTTAGCCTTTGTAAGCTTTCAATCAATAAATAATAAAAACTCTTTTTCTCTTACTAAACAGTAAATATTTGTTGTTTTTATCTCTTACTAAACAGTAAATATTTGTTGTTTTTATCTCATTTTGTATCGGCACCTGATCCAACCTCTGGAATTTCAAAGGGGGGGGGGGTTTATGCCCTGTCCACAGAATGATTTGTATTGTTTGTACATTCTTTGATATCGATCACTGTTCGTTTCCACTTTTTTTTTACTTATGCCCGATGCACAGATTTGTATTGTTTGTAGATTTTTCAGATTGATCACTGACCGTTGTCTTCACCTTTTTCACTTATGCCCTGTTCAAGATTTCTATTGTTTGTAGATTTTTTTAAGTCGATCACTGTTCGTTATCTTCACCTTTATCAGTTATGAAGTCTTTCAAAATTAAAAAAAAAATTAAATACTAGAAGCTTCGAAAAGTAATATTCCTTCAAAAGTTAAAATAATAATATTACTTTAAAAGTTGCGAAATTTAGAAGATATTCGGGTTAGCAAATACATTATTAATTTCAATTTCGTATTTTTTGTCGCTCGCTTCGGGTATTATTTCTTGTATTATATGCGCTTCTCCGTTTTAAGTATGGTATAACGTGTTAGGCAACAGACATTTTAATCCTTAATGTCGAGAACAAACATAATGACCTTGGACTGACCCTGCTACTTAATAAGATTTAAATTGAAATGATATCAAGTTCAGTTAGTGATATTGTCTTCTTCATTGTATGAAAATTTCATAAATTTTAAAATACAATAAATTTGAAAAGAATCCCACTTCAAGCAATCTGTCGTTTACTGTAATTTCAATAATAAAATGCAAAATGCAATGATTTTAAGAGATCGGTAGAACCAGAATATTCTAATATACTATTTGGTAGCAATCACATCTTTTCGGGGGCCGTCACGGTAGCTCAGTCGGTAGACCGGCCGCTCCATGATCGGAAGGTCGAGGGTTCGAATCTGGGCCCCGACTGACCTAAGTCGGAAAAAAAAATATGTAACAACTGTTCCTTCGCCATGAGCTCGGTACTTTGAAGTGAAAGTTGCGGGTCTTTCGGATGAGACTTTAAAAACCGAGGCCCCGTATCACGGTAGGCGTTGGCACGATAAATAACTCTCACTGCTCCATGGCCCTGAGTGCCGATTAAAGGTCTAAATTTGATGCCCTTCACCAGTATATGGTGACGTCTCTGTATGAGTGAAAAATTTTTGAACGGGACTAAAACAACATACAATTAATCAATCATCTTTTCGGGCCTTTCTCGCAAAACTTTCCATCTCCGAAAGATCACAGAAAGGTGTTGCTTTCCATCAATTGAAGTATTGGTTAGACGGAGTTGTTTCTCTTCTTCTGTATTTTAGGTTATATCACAAGTTGCATTCAATGAAGCTGAAGTGTTTAGATCCCGACTCCATCTAGATAAGAGGTCGCCCTATATCGTATTGAATATTTCGACCCCCTTTATTGAATATTTCGACCCTCTATATCTTATTGAATATTTCTTTACTAGTAATTTATTTTTACGTGCCTCATGAAAATGGTGTTGCATGCATTTAAAATATTACCTTTCAGAAAATTACAAATTTTAGAAGTTAAATTTGTAATTATTATTTAATCGAAGTAATCAATACTTTGATTATTTGAGAATATTTTATTTTCCGCATGTCTTGTCTTCGACCCCCACCACTCCTTAATAATTGTTCACTTCATTTTTTCACAAAGTGGCCAGAAAAGGGGTGGGGTTCTAGTGTAAATACTGAAAAACTATTATATCTATAATGATAAAAGTTTAGGGATTAT